ACTGTCCATGTATAAAATTATCAGAAATTAGTGATGGTATTAGTGATTGTTACGGAGATTTAGATGAAAAAAATATTTTAGCAAGTTGTAAAGGCAGATAGAAGGGTTATGATTCCAATTGTCGAACAACTGGGAATCAACCATGTACCGCATATAATAATTTATGTTTTTATAATTATTGTTGTTTAATTAATGAAGAGAATACATTGCGTTCTTATAAAACAGAAATATGTTAAATAGTTAAATTAGGTGTAGCTCCTTTTCATTTTTAGGTTGTTGTAATAAGTGTTGAGATGACATTTTTCATAAATTATTATATTTTAGTTTTTCAAAAGATAATTAATTTTTGATTAATTTGATTAGTTTTTTTTATCTTTTTCTTTTTATGTTTCTCAGATTATTAATTTCTTTTTTCGGTTTGATTATGATGTATGATTTATGAATGTTAATGGTTTATTCTTCTATTAGTAATACTGGTATAATTCTTGTTGGTATAATTACTATGAATTATTGAATTTTATTATTTGTTTATATATTTGGTAATATTATTTTAATTAGTTTGTTTTCTTATATAAAATTAGATGATTACTATTATATATTAGTAATTTTATTTATAGTTGTTCCTCCTTTTTTTTATTTATGTATAAGTTCATATTAGTTTTTAATTTGTTTAGTTAAATTGTTTTTTTTTATAATATTATTAGATGTTTTATTTTTAATTTATTATTTTAGGTTTATTTTTATTTATGGTCTTAACTTTTTTAATTCTTTTATTTATTATAATTTTATCTATTTTTTTTTATAGTATTTATGTTTCGTTGATTTTATTCTACTAATCACCAGGATATTGGAGCTCTATGTATTATTATTGGTATTCCCTAAAAGCTTCCTAGTTTAAAAAAAGAATTTCGGAATGATTGTTTAATTTTCTCAAAACTCCGTTTTTGAAAAATAAAACGACTTTGTCAGGTACTCGAGTATTAGTTGACTAAAATTGTTCTGTACTCATTTATACTTAGCCTAAAATACGCGGTACTTGTAATCGTACTTGAAAAATCGTGTACTCTCCCATCTCTGTAGTGATCTGAATGCTATTATCGTTGAAAATTTAGTGCTTAAGATGCGATATCTATAAGGGTTAACAATGTTGCGGAAATCAAAATTTTAGATTTGTCTGATTTTATACTCAGTCGGTGGAATGTACTAAGTTATAATTATGGCAAAAATTTTTCGGCTAACTGCCTTATCGTTTCTGAGAGAAACGATTGTTTTTCGAACTATCCTCACATTATTGATATTGCCTTATGTTTTTAGGATAGTATCAAAAATATTCTTTTCCGAATTATAACTAATTATGAAAATTTACAAGGTACACCATTATATCCAGAATTAAATTTTCTATTTCATATTGTCCATTACGGTCTTATAGCGAAAAATTTAACCGGCTAATAAAACTAAGAATATAATTTGTGTAACACTAACTGGAATAATCAGGCAAGATAAACACTATCATTTTTAATAGTACTTCGAAATATTCTCGAGTTGATAAATCTTAAATATATACAGAATCGTTCTAGAAAGTAAAACAGATTTCTGAATCTAATATTTTATTTACTAAAACAATGAGAAAAAGTTGTAAGAAAAATACTACTTAAATTTGGTGCAAATTTAATAGTAACAAATAAAAAGAGAATTATTATAGACGAGAAACAAGGCGTCTGTCATTATTCTACTCTGTAACTGATCTTTGTTGACCTAAGAGACGCAAGGTGAGAGAAGAAAAATTAAGAAGTCTTTTGTCCTTATCTGATCATTTTTATTAAAAAAAAAAGTGAACGAAGGTTACTGAGGTCGAACTTCACATTTATTTAAAGTATCAGGTATCGACGATGTATACTTTATTACAGTTAATGAATAATGCAACGACTACGAATGCGACGACGCCTGATGAGAGAACACCGATTTGGGTCGGATATATTTCTGTATTGATATCGGTTGTATTTTTCGGTTCTAATTTTGTTCCAGCCGCAAAATATCCAATTGGTGATGGTCTTTCATTTCAATTTTTTTTATGTTGTGGTATATGGGTTACAGGTGTTATCATTAATTTAATCATCAAAAATCCTCCATTTTTTCCATTAGTCTTAATTGGTGGACTTTTATGGACAACGGGTAATATTCTTTCGGTTTTTGTTATTCCTATAAATGGTCTTGGTCTGTCGATGTTGCTATGGTGCACTTCGAACTTGTTCATAGGTAAATATTTTCGTTATTTTTATAGAAATAAATGAGAAATCTATTTTTAATAGGATGGGCTAGTGGTCACTTTGGATGGTTTGGTTTGACACCAGAAAATGTTGAGAATCCTGCTTTTAATTATATTGGTGTTGCTATCGCTTGTTTTAGTGGTGTCATATTTCTTGCTATTCGTACAGGTAAAATAGAGAATAATGTTCAAGAACGGCAGCCTATTCTTCATTCAATTGATGTAGTCAATACATCGGTCAAAGCAGTACCAGAAATAAACACTGTTCCACAATCGATAGTAAGCATACGAATGCGTGTTATTGCCAGTGGCTTAGCCATTATAGCTGGAATCTTATTTGGTCTTGTATTTACTCCAAGTACTTATATACAAGATCATCGAAAAGATAAATATCCAACAGCATCTAAAAATGGTCTCCATTATATATTTTCTATGTATACCGGTATTCTTCTAGCTTCATCATTTTATTATGGAATATACATTGTTGCTAAACGTAATCGTCCACATGTTCATGTAGAAAGTATATTACCTGCATTTATATCTGGTATAATGTGGGGTATTGCACAAGCAGGTTTTCTTGTTGCTAATAGTGTATTGAGTCAAGCTATTTCATTTCCACTTATATCAATTGGACCAGGGACAATTGCTGCACTTTGGTCGATATTCTATTTAAAAGATATTGCAGGATCAAGAAATTATCTTATATTTACTGGTGGAACTTTACTTCGAATTATTGCTGCTGTGCTTATTATCTTATCTAAACCGATTTCAAATTAAATTTATTTTTATTGAAATGAGAAGACTGTTTTCATATGCATTTCAAAGGATTTTAAACTTCCTTGTTGAATTTTGTAAAGTTGATGAGCTCAAGTGTTCCGTCTGCTTTTTGTTTCTATATGGTCATTTTTTGTTTTTGTGTAACTTTCTCTAATTTGTTAATAAAAAGAAATGTATGTACTAATAAAACAAACTTGTCTTTATATTTTCGAATCAAAATAACTGGTTTATACATTTTTAAAAATGTTCCTTTTAGATTGATCGTAGAATCAATAATGAAAAGTATCATTTGCAGAAAAATATAATATTATTTAAGTATAATTTGTTTAGTGGTTACATTTTATTACTTTGGATAATTTTTGATATTTATTGATCAATTAAAATGTTTGTAGAATAGTGGCAAAGAGTTTTCTGATAGAACTGATTTATCATTTAACATTTATCATTTTAAAATAAAATTTCATTTTGAAGAAAACAATATTGATACCCTCAACTGATCATCGTCATCTCAAAATTCTCTGTTTCTTCAATTTATATGTTGGGTGAATCCATGGGTATCCAACCACTTTTTTGGAAAAAGTTTTTTTATCGACTTTTTTCGTTCTAGTTAGCTGGGGCGTGGTCAGAAAACAGCTTTGAAAAAAATTGCTGACTTTCACCTTAAATGAGGGAGATCTGGAGCTGTTTCTAGGAACATCTAATGAGGGTCATCCAAATTATTTCAAGATTTTGTGCTCATATTTTGCCCATTGGTAGAGGACCACTAGACTAGCATAACCTCCAAAGGATTCTTCTTTTGATTGAGATCTGACCGAGATATGAGTGTTTCAAAACATAGATTTTTTAATCTTTTATAATTTTTCTAAAAATACTTTGTTTTGAAACATTCATATCTCGGTCAGATCTCAATCAAAAGAAGAATCCTTTGGAGGTTATGCTAGTCTAGTGGTCCTCTACCAATGGGCAAAATATGAGCACAAAATCTTGGAATAATTTGGATGACCCTCATTAGATGTTCCTAAACAGCTCCAGATCTCCCTCATTTAAGGTGAAAGTCAGCAATTTTTTTCAAAACTATTTTCTGACCACGCCCCAGCTAACTAGAACGAAAAAAGTCGATAAAAAAACTTTTTCCAAAAAAGTGGTTGGATACCCATGGATTAACCCTGTTAACAGACTTCAAGTTTATATATTAACTATGTCGAGTCCTTTTTTCTCAAAGTGTTGTTATATTTACTTCTAATAAGGTAATAGGAGATGACGATGATCAGTTGCTTATCCAATGTTGTTTTCTTCAAAATGAAATTTTATTTTATTACCATTAAGCGATTATTATTCAATTGATATATTACCGCTCTGTGAGATGAAGAAGGAGTGTGTATAACTATCAAAGACCGAGACGGGTCAACGAAACATGATCCGAACCCGACTCGACCCGAACGTGAGTTGACTCGAACCCGACCCGATCCGAATCAATATCTTATACGTTGACCCGATCCGATCCGAACAGACACGAAAATTTTTCCACTGTACCCACGAAGTACCCAAGCAAACATCACCTAAGGGAAAAATCTTTATACATTTCGTCTGTAAACAGGCAATACACGACTACTATCCATACCAAAATACAAGAGACAGTGCCACTTTTTG